GGACCACGGTGTGAAAGTGGCCACACCGACCACAGCTGTAAGCCTTTCGCAAAAGGCACCTCTCACCCCGCTCCGCGCACTTGTAGAAAACAGGCCATGGAACAGCAGTGAACTCGTTTGGCACAGCACTCGCAGTAACCAGAGACCTAGCAATGACCCCATTGTGCATGCCAGCCAACATCCTCCGCCTGGTCGACTTCCTTCGAAAGTGTTGTCGAACCAATTCAGCCTGGAATTCAGCATCAGAGACCTTAGGATGCCGCCTGTTGCGGTGAGCTCGAATGGCAGCCTCCTTAGCATATTTGCTGACCGGCTCCTCAAGCTCGCGTGGCAAACCAAAGTTGCAGAGGGGGCACTTCCACTGAAACGACTCCTGCGAAACCTCAGCACGTGTGAGCATTCTGAAAGCATCGACATTGGCCCGCAAAGGGCCAGGTGAGCCACAACCATCATGATATCGAACACAATGCTCACGACGGACCGCAGCGACACGGCTGCGACTCTTGTGCGAGTAGACAAAAAAGGAGAACTCGCAGCGAAAAGTGGGCTGGCCTCCATCAGCAACCAAGGAATTGGTGCGGTACCGCCACTGAGCCTCAGCATTGCCCCGAGGAGCAGAGCCAACACCTGCAGTCCGAGAGCCAATGGACTGGTCGCCAGCCGAAGCCTTAGCAGACGCCGAGCCACGGCTCTTCTCATGCCCACTTTTCGAAGCCTTCGGAGCGGCAGGAGCCGAAACCTCAAGAGCAGCAGCAGATCTCTTCCGGGAGCCGGTCGAACCAGCCCTAGCTTTCACGCCGGACGTGGCTCCCGAAGGCCGTGCCGGGGAACCTTTAGCAAGAACCGTGGGATCGAGGCGTGCATCCACCAAGTCGTGAAGCAGTGCGGCCGCCCAAAGTGGAAGGGGCACCGCCTCGGAAACGAATGTCACCAACCTTAGCCGGGACAGCCTGCTGCCGGAGCTCCTTAGAGAGCTCGCCGACCAAAGCTTGGTAGTGCTTGGAGTCAAGCCACAAAGCGATGGGCACTCCTTTAGCAGACGGGCCGAAGAGCGTGATGGAGCCGTCAGCCTGGAAAACGTAAACCGGGGTGTCGGCCGTGGCAGCGAAACCTGCAAGTTCGATCGACCCAGCCCACGCCCCATCACGTGAGGCCATCAAGAGGTAGGCAGCAAATCCTTGATCCCGCATCGGAGTGCACTCAGGGTCTGGGGCGTCTCCAGCCCAAAACCCTTCGTACTCCACAGTGTGTTTGCGAACATGTGTCGAGACAATATTTCGCAGGTCTGCAGCACTTCTTCGAGAACGGCCAGCACTGACCAAAGCATCACTGATAGCAAGGTACAAACAGTTCCCAGCCCCAGCGTTGTTCTGTAAAGAGAAGCCAGCAGGAATCGCCGGGGCGGGATTTTCCGCCTTCTGGCGCTTGGCAGGCTCAGAAGAGTCCGAGATGCCCGCCGATTTCCCATCATCCAGCCGAGGAGCCTCAGAGAGATCAACCTGCATGCCCGAAGTAGGAGCATCCGTCGGAGTCGAAGCCCCAGATGACACCGTCACAGCACGGTCCCCAGGAGGACCCCATCGGCCACGACCAACAGGCTTTCCCGAAGGCCGGAAAACCTGGCTACGCTCCGCCGGCAAAGGCCGCGAAGCAGCCGTCGAGCGGTCCTTCCCCAACCTCACCGCCTCAACCGGGAGCTCGTCGATAACGGTGGAGAAGAAGTCGAAGTCAGCAGCAGCCCTCGCCTTGAACATCCAGCAAGTTGTTCCCTGGCGCCACGGACGGCGCTCGTGCAGTTCAATTTCATCGTAAGAGGCATCCTGCAAGAAGGTCTCCACATCCTCAAAAGCCCAATCCCGAGGGATGCCAGTGATCTTCCAAGTCCGGAAGATAGTGCGCGGCTTCTCTGAGTCAGCGGCGGTCGCCGCACGTCGGATGCCCAACTGAGCCATGCCCCAGGCCAGCCCAAAGCTGGTGTCGGACAAGGACCGTCTGGCCCGAATCGCATACTGAGTCCAAGTCTCGCCATCCTGCCAGTCCATCCAGTCCACCGTCAAAGGCGGCACTCCCTCAAGAGACTGCTGCCTGGACACAGTATTCAGGAACCATCGCTCCGAACGAGCATAGTGCCCCGAAAGCTTCAACAAGGCCATGGCATGCTCCGAAGGGACTCGCACAAGTCCTTCGATCGTCGCCGAATGTCCTCCTGGGCCACGAACTAAGGACCAGCCCCAGGAGTCCCGGATGTGCCCCACAGAAGCCTGAGCCCAATCTCTAAAATGAGCCCCCGCATTCTGCACCAAAGAGTCCCACCTGAGTTCATGGTGGACCCAGTGAGCGTGGGCCCGAAGGACCACCGTACTGCGCTCCAAGGGTGCCCGAAACGTGGACGCCCGCTGCTTAAGCCGTGGCGCACTGTCACTGCAGAAGGCAGCCCACATATTGGCTGCCCGGACCTGACCACGCCACTCCCCCGGCATACGAATCTCCTCCCAAGTGGCCTCCACAAAGTCGGAGCGCTCCTTCTCGAGGTGGCCCTTCATGATCAAGATGGTAAGATCGGGAGGGGTCTCCGAACTCTGAAGCAATGTGCGATACCGCTCCAGCTCATCAGCAGAAGAGACATATGCAACCGCATCAATGGTGGGATCGTGCAAGACCTCCGTGACATCACTGATGACTTGAGAGCCAGGCTGCCAGTCACTGGCTCGAGGGCACCACTGAGCGGGCGAAAGAGGGCCCAACTGGCCCTGTCCTTTGCCCACACCTTTTCCAGAAGCCTTGCCCTTGGCCTGCCCAGAGATGGAGACCACACGAGCAGGCTCAGTGCTGGCCTTCTTCTTCGCCTTCTTCTTTCGAGTCACTTCAGTCCAAGCGGCTTCCTCTGGGGCCGAGTGCCAAGCTCGACCAGAATCAGGAGCCTCAGCCGGCCAATCCTCCCAAGAAGTAGAGGCTGCAGCCTGCCAGCCATGATCATTGGCACGGCGTCGCCTGGAGGTCCATCGCGGCGCCTTACTGGCGGGAGCTTGCCACTCCTGCAACAAAGCGGTCAGAGCCCCAATGGGATCGGCGGGGCGCCGCCAGATCAATTGCTCCAACTGAGTGAAGAGCACATCATAGGACCCGTCATCCTCAGTAGCGGCCTCCTCGGCAGTCTCCTCATCTCCAGCAGCCCATCCATTGAGAAGCTCTGAGAGCGAAGCCAACATCTTTTCTGTGCGGCGGCGTCGGGTGGCCGCAGCAGCGCCGGCGCCGCCCCGAAGCTCATCGGCAGCACGAGGCGAACGCCTTATGAGGCCGCCTGAGGCTGCGCCTCCTTCATCAGCACCGCCCCTGAAAGGATCAACCGCAAACGTAGCTGTGCCATCGCCAGACTCAGGCAAAATGCTCCGAGTCTCCTCTTGCCTGCAAAGGGGCCCCCCAGGGGCAAAAACATTCACGACGACGTGGGCGTCGCTACAACCACCGCCACAAAGCCCAGAACCACACGAACCAGCCGAAGCAGCCGAGGTCCCAGCATCAAAACCACTTGCAACTCCCACAGCGAGGGGTGGATGCTTAAAGCAGCATCTGCATCCTCTAGCTCTCAAAGCCCAAATCTGTGCACTAGGCCTGGAGCACAACCTGAAACTGGAAGAACGGATAGGCAATCTTCTCCCACCGGCCCAACGTGCAGACCATGCAGCGATCCGGTGTGCCATACCGCTCTGGAACGAGGCCGTCAAGGCGACCTTAGCATTGCGCTTCCGCCGACGACGCTTCTTGCGTTTCCGCCGGAAGACCTGCCCAAAACGAAGGCGAGCAGGCCGTGTCACGTCAAAACGGCTGCTTGCTCCCACAGCAGCAGCACGAGCAGCAAAACACTCAAGGCGCTTGCCACATATGAATCGAAGCCCCCAAACGTGGCCAATAGCTCCCACAGCCAAAAGCCACAAGGCCAAAACCAAAGCTCGTGCCAGACAGAACATCTGGCACGTCGAATTTCCGATCGAGCCGCCAATCATCATGAAGCAGTAGAAAACACGGCAGCTCTGGGAGATTTCGTACCCGCCCTCAACCTCAGGCGGGCCCGCATGCGCCTCGTGGAGGCACTCCGCTCGCATGCGCTCCTATGCTGTAGAAAGTCTTGCTGTTGCATCGGGTGGCATGAAAATGCCGTCCCCGTGCGAGGCTACGGATCGACCTCTGTTATGCCCATGTTGTGATCAGGAATGACGCTGTTACTGTTGTCAGGGAAGTCATCCAGGATTGGATGCCACTGCTACTACTACTACTACTACAACTACTACTACTACTACTACTACTACTACTACTACTACTACTACTACTACTACTACTACTACTACTACTACTACTACTACTACAGTACTACTACAGTACTAGTACTACTACTACTACTACTACTACTACTACTACTACTACTACTACTACTACTACTACTACTACTACTACAACTACTACTACTACTACTACTACTACTACCACTGCTACTACTACCGCTACTTCAACCACAACTACCATTACTCCTCCTGCTGCAACTAATTTAACATGACTGCTGTACCGATGTACTAATTACTTGTACAGGCGGGGCTGGGCGAGCCTTATTCAGGAAACCGGAAAAAGCTTCGGGGCCTACAAAACACAGTAACACGTGACAAAGCAAGCCTGCGTCTGCGAACACATGAAGCCGAGCGCATGAACACCCGTGATGACAAATGCACACGGATTACAGGCATGCATGCTTGCACAGATGCACGCAGTACATCCGGTGATGAACGACCGTCCTGATGAAAGCATGCACAAGTGCATGTACATGGGTGTTCAGAGGGGTGGGCGGGCTTGCGTAAACTTCCTTCTCTCAGAGACTTCTGGTGTCTCGTGCGCATAGACTTGTGCTGCGGCGAGTCATACATGTTGGACCCACTGTGCGCCGTGCAATTCAGGGCTTACAAACCGGCAACGCATAGAACCCGCCACAAAGACGAAGCTCCGCTCATCGCCTTCATCTCCTCCTCTGCCGCCTGCCTTGCCTCGGCGCTGTGCCGGCGCAGCGTGGCGATCTCCGCCGCCTTCGAGTTGCAAACGAGACAAGGCCCTTACAATTATTAGCTTGGAGGTGCTCTTACCATGTCTCGCTCAGTCTGGATACTGGTGCGCCTGGGATGGCTTTCAAACATCTGAACAATGAGCCTGAAGCTGCAGACACAAAACGATAGGAGATCTGCTGAAAGCACAAAGCACCTGTTGCGCAGCGGTGTTTTGAAGAGCCTCGATGCTCTTTTCCTGGGTGGAAAGGTGGGACACGAGAGAGGCGACAGTTCCTTCTCAAGCTGCGTTTCATTCTGTATGCTCTCCGGATGTAAAGACCTCCGTCGATGTATTTTTTGCATATAATGCCATATCATGGCGAGATGGACCAGAGGAGCAGAGGAGAGGTGTCCTGGGCAGCAGCAAATAACTATATTAGAGCTAATGTTGTTTGACCTTTCTTTCTCCAAGAAGTTTACACAGCCCCGATGTATATTCTGATGAGGTAGTGTCCGAGACAGAACAATCTACGGAATCAGAAAACCGGCAAGGCCGGAAGGGAATGCTGAGAAAAGGCTTCAGAAGCGAAGGCGATTTTCCCGAACACAACAGAATCTCGGATGTGAAGTCGTGATTTAGCTAACAAGCCACGATAAAGACAAGGGCGAAGAGAAGAGGCAGAGCGGTCGCGCGATGCGATGCGCAAACCCTCCAGTACAAGCCTTAAACACCTCGCTGACAAGACACCGTCCGAGCCATTTCCGCCCGACCTGCCGTCTCCTTGGCCTCCTGCTGCAGCAGCTCCGAGGAGAGCTCGGAAATGCCTGATAGCTGTTGCTGCTTGCGCAGAACTGTACTTGAGCTGGTTTAGGCTGAGTGGTTCGCTAAACCTACGACAACGAGACAACCTGTGATTGGAAACGCATTTTTTGAAATGTAGGGGGCGCCCCGTGACTTGCTACGGCCTTGTGCCACGACGTCCAGAACTTGGTTCCGGCGCCGCACATCGGGATTGCCTCGAAGCCTGGGCTTTCGGAGACTTCAGCGCAGCACATTCAAGGTTGTATCGGTGACCAAACATCAAGGGTGAAGCTTCTGGCTTGAGATTTGCAGCGTCTTATAGGTTGGAGGCTTCCGAGGGTCACGCCCAAAAATGTGAGTCTCGATCCGTCAGCATCATGTATCTCGAAACAAACTGTGAATGGTCGACTCTCACGAGGGACGTTCGAGTCATGAGCTGCTGCTTGATGACGCCCGTTTGTTGCATGATGCTCGTGACCATCCGCCACTGCGATCCAGGAGGCAACTGCTTTTGCAGGTCTTCCACCTCACAGGTATAACAGGAGCGCTCAAGAGCGGCAGTGAGCTACGTAGTATGAGGCTGCAGCTGCCTCCCTTTGTTTCCATGCTTGCGCACGGGTTTGGATCTCCGACATCCGCGTCGCTAGTTAGTCTCTCTGCTGCAGCTTTTTGAATCCCGCAGCCTCTTGGCTCAACTGCTCGGTGCGCAGCACCTCAGCCGCCTCCTGTTGATTGTTCTTTTGTGAGGAGCATGAGGAGGAGGAGGAGGAGGAGGAGGAGGAGGAGGAGGAGGGGGAGGGGAGGAGCCAGTCTATAAATAATTCAACAAGAGGTATGTATATTCTAACTGATTTCGTCATGTGCTTATACAGTCTCAAAATTTGTGCTGGAGTGCATTTTTACAGGTGCACTTCTCTAACCTTATGTATGTATGTACGTATGTATGCATACACACGAACACACGGGCTTGGCTGCGGCTGTTGGGGTTCAAGGTCTTGGGACCTTGGCTGTTGGGTTTCGTGGTTTCGTCCGTGATTGATGACAGGCTGGCGGCCTACCGCTCCAACCCCAGCGGAGGCACCTGTCTCCGGCCGACGACTGGGAACGATTGAACCGATGCAATCCACACAGTCAGAAGACCAAAAACCGTGGACAAGCCCGAACTCGGTATCTGAGTTAGGGTTTGGGCTTTAAGCCCTGGCCGAAGCTAGTCTCATGAAGCCCAGCAACTGCAGCAGCTTGGTTTCCGCAGCCCCACCATCGCCGACGCGGGCTGATGGGCGAACTGCTTTCAACCTCGTGATGAGCATTGGGATTGATGGGTAAACCAGGTGCCAGTCGGCAACATTATGTCGTGCTGAGGATGGAACATCGAACCAGTCCTCTGTATTGCAAAAAGATGTAGAGCAGCGTTACTTCAGAATTCAGCGGGCCAAGGAAGCTTGATCAAGCCTCATGTCCGACCGGTCAGAAGCGGAAATGGAGAAAGGTCAGAGATCTAAGTGAGATGGGTATAGTATGCTGCACACTTCAGGTGCGTCGCCTTGCTGCGCAGGTAGTTGCATCGCGCCTCCCAACACTGCTTGAGGCAACAACAGCTCTGCTCGCAAAGGCTGAATGTCGGTCTATGTTTGCCTGGTGGGCTGCCTGCTTGTATTAACCCATTAGCTCATCGCTCGTTCACTCATGCATGATGACGCTGCTAAGGAAAATTGAGATGACGACGACATGATGGCAATGACGGACACCATGCTTCTGATGATGATACTGATGATGACGACGATGGTGATGATGATAGTGACGTTGACGATGATGGCGATGATGACGCTGATGACGATGATGGTGATGGCGATGATGATGACCTTGATGATGGACAGGGATGCTATGAATTCCAAAGGCAATGGCAACAAGACTGACAATCCACGAGGCTAGCAAAGATATGACGTGATGGTGATGATGACGACGATGATGGTGATGGTGAAGGTGCTGGTGATGGTGAGGGTGATGGTCATCCATGGTTGGACAAGGATGAAACATTATTAATTATGTCCCTCGCGGATGATGCAGAGTGCCGCTGCTCTGCCCGGACCTCACATCGGAGGAGCTGGTCGCGGAGTTCACTCTCTCGCGCACGCAACTCCTCCGAATCCCAATATGGGACATCAGAAAGGCTTAGGCCACTTCTTTACACATTCACACATTAGCCAGGTATAGCCTAGTAGGGTTCGGAGGCAAGAAGCACGCTTTCCGTTCCAGAAGAACCAGACTTACCGAATGATGGCAGACGCTCAGCCATGGCAAGTATCTAAGAGCCCTCTACACCCTGTACGACGTCCTCATTGCCGATGCTGTACTGGGCAGCATCGGAGAAGACCTTCTGCTTCAGATTCCAGCCGTGTTCAGCTTCGGGAAAACCCGCATACTGGAACCGCATACCGTTGGCAATCCTAATGGCCGGCTGATCTCCGGTGCTGTCCCGACCTGTGCCACCACGTGCTTTAAGCTGCCGGCGCGAACCTTCCACGCTTAAGCAGTTTGGCATTCGAACAACAAACTCGGCACTTGCCCGTGACTTGTAGCTGGGACGGCAACAAGAACTACTGAAGCCTGAGCAACTGTCGAACCTGAACCTCTGCAAAGATGATACAAGAGACAGCGTCCAGCTGTGATGCTGCCGGGCCTCCGCTCGGGCACAGTCCTGCAGCCAATACAGGGCAATGCCAGGTGCGAGGCTACCAAGCCGCGGGCGGTGAAGACGCCTCCTCTGTCTCCCGCAGCGCGCGAGCGGAGCGCTGAGCGGCGTGCTGCAGCTCGCGAGCCTGGAAAGTCTCCGCTTGGGCTCATGACCCTCCCAAGGTTCTGACCCTCGCAATTCGAAATCGCGATGAAACCACCTTCGCAACGGCTTTCATGTTAGGAACAGGCAGACTTCTGTAGGCTCCTATCTCCGTATGTCTCAATTAAACACTCCCCTCGAAATTCGATTGAATCGGGTCCATGGTCGGACACTTTGAGCCCTCAGCCTGGGCCAGGAGATCTCCCTCCGCACGCCGAGCGGCCTCCGTCTGGGCCTCGCAGTGCATCGGAGCGGGGAAGACTGGCCATGGAGTGTTCACGGTTTACTTCCTGGCGAACATCAGCGGGCAAAGTGAGTCGCGCGCCTGCAGCTCCTCTATCCTCTGTCGATGCCGACAGGAAAGCTCCTGACCGAACATGTTTCAGGACTCACATTCCATACCTTCAGGACGCGTCACAAGTTTGCAGGCAAGAACCGCAGATCTAGCAGGACAAGTGTGCTGGTGTGCCAATGCATTCAAAGGTGCATCCATACGTCTTTGCTGTTCGCCTCGGGCCTAGGCACGGCATTTGAAAAGTGGATTTGTCGAATGCACGCAGTTGATGCAGTCTTGCTTACTGAACTGAGCCATGCATCTTTGATCATCCCTGACCCTGCCCCTCACAAAACTCATGATTTCACAGCGGGGCTTCAATGCATTGGTCAGGACAGATTCTGAGCAGTCTGAGGGGGAAGAACTTTCTACCCCTGACTGCGTCAACAGGCATCGCGAACTCCCCGCACCCATCGCGATGCGTGGGTCTCTTATCGGCCGCGGCCTTAACAAGTCTTGAGAACCCTGGCAGAAAAGATCAAAAGAAGTCACTTGTGGTGTGTCAGGACACACTCGGACTCTGCGGGAGGGATGGGCGGCAGCAGAATTGGGGCACAGGCTTGAGCTGATTCCGGGAAGAGATGCATGACAAAGAGTCAGGTGTGCACCACTCCGAGCCACTCCAAAACATACATGCAGAGGCTTCAATGCTCGTCGCTGCGATTACCTGTTCGATCACCGTTGTCGACAGCATGTGTAGGTTGCTGGCGCGAACAGCTCCGTGGACTTGCCGCGAGCTATCCCGTTCCTACAACAGGGGGCGTTCCTGAGTTCTTGACTCAGGGCAGGAGGGAAGAGAAGCTACATACTGAGGAGCTCACATGCTCCATACCGCATGCTGAAATGTGCGAGTGGCACATGGCGGTACATGGCGTTGTTCAACCGCATGAAGACACAACAAGACCTAACAAGAAGTTTAACCCGTGCAGATAGCCTAACAATGTTTAACGATCACTGGAGACACAAGAGTATGCACGTGTCGGAGCAGCCCCTGCCAGGCCAGGAGCTGTCCTTTTTGCGCTGGAGCTCGTCCACTTCGAGGCGGAGCTGCCTTATCTCCTTGTCGAGGAGTTTTCGGATTGGAGCTGTTCCGGCTCTGACGAGCATTATCTGCATAGACAGGCAAAGAGAGTTGCATGGAATCATGACATGCGGGTGATTGAAAACCATTATATCGTACGATGAAAGCACGGAGCAGGCTTGTGTCAAGGCTCGTACATCGCAAACATGCAAGAAGCACACAACCAAAATCGATTCAATCGGGTCAGGCTACAGATGGATTTTAGGGGACTTGAATACAACTCTCGCCTTCTCGCGCTGGCGTAGAGGCACAAGAACATCATCCAACTCCTGTCGTGGCAGATGTTGAACACAAATCATATATCGGATTGCCTGCACAATGAGGCCTCTTTGGCTTCGGCTTCGAAGAAACTTTAGCAAGCATCTGTTCATGCATCCGTGCATCGACCGTTGAAAACCAGGGATGTTGCTGCCACGTGGCAGACTTGCCGTCACACTTCCGCAATTCACTTCGTAGCTGACCGAAACATCTGTCACCTCCCGACCTCCCAATGTGCCATGCCCGAATCCCCTGTTTACGGCTACGTCCAGCCTAAAAGTCGAAAAGCACCGAAAACCCCCAAGACAAACACACACCCGATCATCAGCTTCAACGGACACGAGCAAGTAGTGGCATGTCGTGCCAAACTGCCAACTAGGAACTAACTACTGCATGGCTGCCAAACAGTGTCTAGTGACGAGTCTCAGACGCAGCGAAACGCCGTTTCGTAGTGTCTGATCGGCCTGTTCCTGCTTGTAGACTTCCAGACCCTGCATAACTTTTGTGATCTGCGCGCTGCAGCCGTATGTGGTGATGGGCGAAAAGGGGCGCCCCGATAGCCCTCGCCAATCTGTACAGAGTCCCGCATCCTCAAAGCAACGAGCAAGCTGGCTTCTGGTGAGTCGTATCGGTTTGATGCCAAGCCGGGGCCTGGCAGTGGCACTTCTCTCTACTCACACTTTGCAGGCCCAAGTGACAGTAAACGACTCTGGCTTTGTGAACACTAAGCCTTTCTCAAGTCTGATGACTCACTACTGTTGCTATCAACACGGGAGGACTGCAACTGTTAAACCGACTATGGCTACTTCTACAGCAACTGCGACTGGGGCTGCTACTGTACAACACTACTACACATCACCTCGGCTACAGTTACTGTTCCGATTATCACTACACTCACTCTTCGGCTACTCCAAAAGTATCGTGCTGCTGCGTCTTTACGCCATTGCTCGTCTGCCAGGTCTATTCACTGCCAAGTGTCGAGCCCTCATCGCGTGGCAAGCAGTCCATCAGTCGTTCTTCTTGTCCTGACGGCAAGGCCCAGGCATTCACACGCTCTTTAGAATGTTCAGCTCTCGAATGCCACAAGGCCGGCATGGGATACACGGATCAAAACTCTTGCAGGCCACTCATAGCAGCAGCAGCGTGCGAGAAGCGCGAGCAAAACACCCTGCAGGAAGAGCAGTTCGTTCAAGAACTTTGAGTTTTTCAGCTCGTATGCCACACCCGCTCCCGTCGCCGTGCAGAAAGACTTGCACTCCTGATCCTCGGTTTCAGCAGACTCGGTGAAGTCCTCGTCGAATGCGCCTTGTGGCAAAACTGGTACTGGCGGGAAGAGAGCTAATTGGAAAATGCAATTACTGCACAACCAATAGCAGTGGCCGGCAATAACTAACACCTCATCTTAAACGACAGCAGAACAGATAATCCTTGATTGAGTACCTCAACAAAGGAAAAGCATGGCATAGCCCACCACTCGGCATTGCTTCACGCATCATCATTGGCGTCCCTGACACCCTTCAACATCACTGTCACCATTATCATCCTCAACAGCTTCAGCAACCCCATTGTAGGCCATGCCACGGGACTTGTCCACCGGGTAAATATGCCGCTGGTAGAGGTAGAGGAGGAAAACGATGTCATCTCTGAAGCATGACATGCCTCGGTGCTACACTTCAGAACAGGGCGTCTGCGCCGCACCCATGCACTGCCTGGCAGAATGAGACAACATCGGATCGCAAAGCATGAGGACCTGAAACCCGAAAGTAAGCATCGGGCGGTGCATTGTCGGCATCTTGATGATGAATGCAAAGAGATCATCCTGAGAACTGAAAGTGCATGCAACAGTAGGGTTCCAAGCGCCGGTGTCCCAGTTCAGACGAGACACAATGAAGGTATTGATGGCTCCTCGGCATGGGCTGAAGGGCCACGGCAGCTTACTCTGACTACGTGAGCAGACAACGAGTCCGCAAAAGAAGCCCAATGCCCACGGACAGACTAAAATGTGCTCCGAAGCATAAGCCCCGCAGCCAAAACTGACTGAAGCATGTCGAGGTTCTGTAAATGAAGCGCCTCCAGGGAAGGTGCGCCACGGATTTCATGCGATAGTTGATGAACAACTGTGGCGTCCTGTCTTGTTGTTGGGTTGACAGAAAGAGGTCACGGGTGGCCTTGATGGCTTTCGGTTGGGAGTTTCGAGTTGGGCTGCAGACTTCAACTATGTTTCGACTGCAAATACTGCCTGCTGCTAATCAGACGGAGCCAGTGAGCGACGATAGTTACAAAGATCGAGAGACAAGGCTCAACTGGGAAAGATGACTCCCGGCAAGGGTCATGTCAGCCATCTGCGGCTGCAGTGCAAAACTTCGATTTTCTGTTTGTGTGTGCAGAACATCAACGATCTGAGAGTGCTGTGTATCCTACAGTGAACCATCTGCTAGTCCTTTGAACTGTTGACCACCTCAGCTCCGAAAGAACTGCTGCGAGCAACACCCCTCAAGGTCCAAGTCATCGCCGAGGGTCATAAGTGCAAAGCCCAAGGCATACACCAAAGACGCAGCTACGTGCAGCATGTACCTGAGCTTTCTCTGGCTTCAGCTTCCGCCAGAGTTGGGAGGCTGGATAGTCTTCCTATCAGCGCCAGGTGATTTCCGTATACTCGGTGTCGCAGCCGTGGCTGCACTAAAACGCTTTAGATTTTGGAATCAGCCCTACTGGCAGGGTGTCGGCTGTGTTCCACGTTCTCCTGGTCTCCTTGGGTTAATTCTGCGTCGCAGGGACGCTGGGACGGACTTGTGGCACTCGTACTTGGCGGAGTATCCCGCATAGCCGACGACGATGGGAAGCAAGATCTTAGGTCAAATGAATGCTTGAATTTGAAAAGTGTCAGGCAGTTGGTCCATCATCCTGTGTGCGAACGTGCCTGATCTGGAGGCTTGAACGGTCCAAAACGAGCATCAATGACTGAGGATCTTGCATAAGAAAGGTATATTAGAGCCATCTTGTCATAGTCGTCCTTAGTCCAGATGTGGCGATGCGGCTCGCTGTCAAAGCCAGTCAAGGGGTGCCCTGAACCAATGACATCCCCACGAATTAGCCAACCTGAAGCCTGTGTGAAACCTGAAACAGCAGCCAGCGGAAGCTCGGAAAGCCCAAAGCCGGATGAGGTCCGCCCTCAAAGAGGTTACGAGAAGTACGTGGAGGCTCGGTTTAGGGCTCCAGTGCGATGCCAGGCTCCGCGCTGGAGTGGGGCACTCGGCTCTTGAAGGTCGGATAGACAAGGCCTCCCTTCCAGGCAAGACTGACCTCAACAAACGCGAGGCAGTTTCGCGCGGTGCTGTACTACCAGGTTACTACCAGTGTGCTGTTGCCAGGCTCATGTTCTGGCGACGGGATGCCGACGGGTGCTACTGCCGTTCCGACTATAGCGGTTTCTATTCTTGTTGCTAGGCTTGTCCATTGTTCTACGACTGTGATTATGCTGTGACCATTACTACAGCGGTGACAGCTTTGCACCACTAAGGTGAAAGCTTTGTCTCTTTCACCGCTACGACGAGAAGTACTCTTACTAGGGACGTTACGCAGTCTTTTCTTACTACTACTACTACTACTACTACGACGACGACTACTACTACTACTAGTGTTCCGGTGATCCCGAGTCTACCACGTAGTACTACTGTAATACTCTTAAGTCTGAGTATTTAGTAGTAGTAGTAGTGGTAGTAGTAGTAGTAGTAGTAGTAGTAGTAGTAGTAGTAGTACTAGTACTAGTAGTAGGAATAGTAGCAGCAGCAGAAGCAGCAGTAGTAGTAGCACTAGTCGTCGTAGTCGTAGTCGTAGTCGTAGTCGTAGTAATAGTAGTAGTAGTAGTAGTAGTAGTAGTAGTAGTAGTAGTAGTAGTTGTAGTAGTGTGGTAGTAGTAGTAGTAGTAGCAGCAGTAGTAGTAGTAGTAGTAGTAGTAGGGGAAGAAGTTGTTGTTGTAGCAGTCGTCGTAGTCGTAGTCGTAGTCGTAGTCGTAGTCGTAGTCGAGTCGTAGTCGTAGTCGTAGTCGTAGTCGTAGTAGTAGTAGTAGTAGTAGTAGTAGTAGTAGTAGTAGTAGTAGTAGTAGTAGTAGTAGTAGTAGCGGTAGTAGTAGTAGTAGTAGTAGTAGTAGTAGTAGTAGTAGTAGCAGTAGTAGTAGTAGTAGGAGAAGTAGTAGTAGGAGAAGTACTAGTAGTCGCCATCGTCCTAGTTGTAGGAGGAGGCACAGCAGAGGTAGAAGTAGTAAGGGCATGATCGAACCGCACTCGCTCTGGCAGCATCTTTCTAGCCAGCTAGCCAGCTGCATCAGTACTATACAACCTTTTTATTGCCACTTTACAAAGGTATTCTTTATGAGTATACATATCTGTATAATTTGCATCTGCACATACTATATAAATGTGAAAGGAGCTGTTTTCTTAGTCTCCACTTGGGTTTCAGACCTCAGGGCTTGGGTTCAGATGGTTTCGGGAACCCTCTGGCCTCCAGCACTTGCGTGAGCTTCCAGCAGTCCACGCCGATCTGACCCAGGGACAAGATCAGGATCAGCCAGTTGGACTCTTGGTCATACCTTGGCAGAGGTTCTGGTTCACTCTTGTTTGCACGATACTGAGCTGCGCTGCATTTTGCATACAGCCAATAAGCAAATGAATGTATCTACATACATACATACATACATACATACATACATACACACACACATCCACAGTAAAAAACATACATGCAAATGTATATGCAATTATATGCATATACATGTAGCTGTTGGTGACTATGTATGTATGTATAGATAGATAGATAACACACACATACACAATATGTCACAATATACTCTTACACCTCGATTCTTGGTTGATCCTTCTCGCCGCGTCTGTTACTCCAAATCCAGGCTCCTAAACCTGCTCTTGTCAACCAATTTTTGGGAGGCACCCATTCACTCTGAGGACTCAGATCTCAAGCGATGCCGCGATCCAAATTGAACGGAGGACTTCAAAAG